CAAAGTTAGCCSTTCCTTACTTGTTTGAACTGAATTTAAATACAATTTTCGGTTGCTTTTTTAACACAATGTAGATGTACATATGTATGTATACGTAAACGGAATTATTATTAGTATTTTTAACTGCATGAGATTAAAATTCATATCATATTCATTACAAATGACAGCGTCAATATACATATGTATATTATTGAAAACTCTTCATTGCTTTAGTTATATATTTTTTAATCTCTACACTTACTGAAAATTTTCACTGTTTTTTTTAACTTTTTATTATATACAAGTATATATTTTTACTTACGAATCGCCTTGCCACTCGAAAAATCGAATTTTTCCTTTGGTGGTTTCAGCTTTGAAATTCGGCATTGTCGCACCCAAACGCATTTTCGATTTTTGTATTTATTTATTTATTTTTGTTTTTTAATATTTAAATTTTAATCACAAACTTCCTTCCAGCAAACACCGACGCACATATACCCAAGTGCACAAGTCTCGACTCTTTCTTGACTACTGTTTAATTTCGCAGCTTTTTATATGCCGCTGTCGGCTTCATGTTGTAAACACGCTCTCATATATTAAATAGTTGTGCATATAGTGCATGTGAGAGCAGATAAGCTATGGTGCTCTTACTCAAATAAGCAGGTGAGTTGTTATCAGTGTTGGAGATAACTACTCGCTTATTTACGAGTAAACATAATGTTAAAAAGAAGAGAAATTTTTGATTAAACTGACTTTGTATATAGTACCAAATGTAATTCAATATAGTCAATAAATATGTTTGCAGGGGCATAATCGTGTTTATATGAAAGAGGGATCAGAAAACGGACCTCACAGGGGCATTTCTTATAGCATAAAAATTTACATTTACAAATCGATTTGTCTTGATTTTAATCAGTCCGTTTGTATGGCAGATATATGCTATAATGATCTGATCTGAACATTATATGCAAATAAATTGTTAAATAAAATAGTTTTCCATATACATATGTGCTTCAGTCTCAACGGGCAGTTTGTAYTTGCTTCCATTGAAGGCAGCAGTTGTGCTTCTTTATTGAAGTATCCACATATACTCTTGTCTCAATTCAACTCAATAAATTTATTGCTGATTTTMSAAGTAAATATTTTTTACAAAAGAGTAGCGCTCAAAGAGAGCGAGCACGGAAATGGCGAATCGAAGRCAGCAATAGTATATGCTAACGCGCTCAGCGATATGCCTCAAAGCCTTAAGTKCACATGAAGAGTCGACCGAGCACACAGCGCTGATTGAGTGCTGATCAACCGATCGTTATGCGGCACATTCCAGAGTTTCAAATGCATACACACATACATACACACYTATACACATGCAATCATACATACATATTATATTGCTCTGCTTGTAACTGTCTTCTAACACCATGTATGCCACCATCACCAAGCAGCCAAAGCGAAGGCTGTCGAACAGCATATCTATACATACAATAGCAAAAATAACAACATACACAAGCAATGAAAGTACTTAAGCAMTAGTCAGCGACAATCGTGAATGTCTTTTCGTTTGCTCTCGCGCTGGCTAACTCAATCATTTGTATGTATGTTTGTGTAAGTGCTTAAACCTTTTCGACTTTTATTTATACCCTGAACTGCGTATAATACTTTTGCCATGTAAGTGATTTTTTAAAATTGTATATTTAGCTAAAATGCAAAATAACGTAACATCACTTTTCATAAGTTTACAGGCGATGAAAAAACCGTATTATAGAAATTAATTATTAATTTATATTTTTTATATTATTTAAACGTATTATAGAAATTACTCATAATAAAACATAATTTGAATTTCGGTTATAAAATGGTTATGTATTGGTTATGTAATGGTTATAACTGACAGCGGGAGGTTAAAACTTTATGTAAGATGCTGTACTGAATAGTAAGCATTAAAATACTTACAGGCGAAGAAAAAACAAAATTTTAGTTTCGGTTATAAAATGGTTATGGATTGGTTATATGTTGGTTATGTGTTATAACCAACATAATTTCGATTTTGTGAAGACATCCAAGTGGAGTTATCCAAGTGCGTCTCTCTGTATATACGCGAATTAATCGCTCTGTTTTTGAGATTCGATCTGAAATTTTGCGAACATTCTTTCTTTGCCGCGAAGCTGCTCATTTGCCGGAATCGCCAATATCGGGCCACTATAGCTTATGGCCATCATAGAAACTAAACGATCATAATCAATTGCTTGTAAGGAAATTTTTTGTATTTGATGAGATATCTGCACGAAATTCGGCACRTATTATTGCGAAGGTCAAAGGTAGCATCMCTCAACAAATTGTTGAAATCGAACCACTGTCATGGAAACTGTCCGCTATTCGTCAAGTTCGTGTACTAAAATGTTTTCTTTTCTGTTTTTTATCATTATAATTTTTTGTGTAGGGTATTCTAGTTTCGCTGCAACCAAATTTAAAATAATTACCTGTTTTTTTTGTTGCGTTTATTGCTTTTGTTGTTGCCATTCCAATGTTATTTGCCTGAGGGCTCTCCCAGTCAACTTATCGTTATGGTTAGTAGTTTGCTACACGCTACGCCTTTGTTGTTGTTTCGTTTGTTATGTTGCCTGCTGTTTTGGTTATTATTATTGTTGCGTGTTTTTCTTAGTTTGTTTTAGTCCATTATTTGTTTTGGTCATCGTCTCAGCATAGTGAATAGAGCTAACACTGATCATCGTCCCAGCATATTTAGCTCTTTCGATACCTCAATCAACAAAAACTATAACACAAAATGCAAGTAATTCTGCGTAGCCGTGTCGAGCAAGCTATTACACGTAACAATGTTGCATCTGAAGTCCATGTAAGTGCACCGAACTTGTTTATAGCTTTCGCTCTTTTCTCAATATTATCACGGTATCATTACTGTTTGCATTGGTGGTTGATAGTTGAGGGTGTTTGCTGATATTTTCAGGCCATAAATTCTGTAATAATAATGTTGCAGTTGYAACAACAACAACATAAGCAAATGACGTTAGCACAAGAAATACAGAAGTTGCGACAAATTCGCACGTACAAGTTGTTAGTWGCGAAAAGCAAAGACATTCTGCAAGAAATCTCACCAGTTTTAAGCTTGAAGTTTAGCATGTCGTCTCTTAATGGYACAAAACAGTAGCTAGTATGCTGCTAACTCTTATCAGACCCCTTCTATCCATGCTGCTTGCCCCTGTAAATATGTACTGTGCTGTATGTGTATGTAAATGCTGTTAGTTAGAACAGTTTTCATCTCAATCAACTTTTTCCAGTAATATTTTTGTTACTCAGAGCGCGTAGAATTCATGTACTAGTGATTAGATTTGAATACCTTATGTGCAAAGATGAATGAACAGTACATTTGAGCGTTTTTCTCAATAAACACTTGTACTGAGTTTATTGAGTATCTCTTTGAACTGGCTCAATGAGTGCATAATTCTACGATATATGTGACCACTTGTGCTGCATTTATTGATTATGAGTAACTTTCCATGTCAATCGCCTTTTTCTCAAATAAAATCGAAGAGTTAGTAAACAGTGAGCCCATTTCTGATAATAATACTGCATGTATCGAATTCTCAATATCTTTATGAAAATTAATTGCTAACATTTTGTAAGTCTTTGACCATCAAGAGAGCTTATATTAAATTAAATTCTTAGCTGGTCCGATTTCTGATTTTTTTTTCCGTATCTAAGTCCGAGTTTAAGTAAGTGTTTGTTCTTGAAAGTCTCTCTGTATGTATAAATGTGAACTATTCATACAGTGTAAAAGATATCGATTTGAAATTTTGCACACCTTCTTTGCTCTTCAAGAAATTGCTCACTTGTCGGAATCAATGAAATCGAACCACTAATGCATATAGCTGCCATACAAAATGTATGATCGAAATTAAAGGCTTGTACGAAGAACTTTTCTATTTGGCGAGTTATCTTCACGAAATTTGGCATAGATTATTGTCCTTCACAAAACAACAAACTCCCAAAATATTGTTCAGAGCAGACCACTAAAGCATATAGCTGCCATACAAACTGATCAATCAAAATCAACATAAAKATCTTTTCGTACACTTTTGTTTTAAAAGTAATGCTCTTACGAAGGCTATTACAGCTTTGCTGCTTCTTKTTAATGACATTTTTAACAAAAAAAACTGTATGACTTTTTACTGTTATATTTCAATAATTTAGTCCTCATAGACCGCAGTCCACCACACCAAACAAGTTGAAACCTATGATTTTCTAAATTTTCTCATCAAAAAATATAAATATCAGCTAAAAACATTATACAATAAATATAAATATCAACTAAAAGCATTACACAATTTTTACTTCTTACACACAATGTCATGCAATTAACACAGCAGCCGTAGTCAAAGCATCGAAAGTTCGTTGCTTAAGTCTTTTGTATAATTCAACCAATGCAAGGTATTCACAAAATCCGTAAATAACAACTAATTTATTAACGTTTATCTACAATRTATGCAGCTTTTCACTCACTTAGATACATTATAATTGTTTAATAACTGTGCCTTTGCTGCTCTATAGCTCTTTCAACGCTCAGCTCAGCTGTTTTTCGCAATTTACAGTTGCACAGTTTCTACGCTCTTCGARCAGCAACACCGTTGRCAATACCACAACTCACCACAACTGAGTTACCTTCATAAATACTAGCTGTTATTCACCAAATCACCAAACAACAATAACAACAACACATAGAATGTGATCGAACCAAACTCGTTTGCGCCATCGACACTTTGGCAATTTAGCTGCAGCAGCATCAGCGCTCGCTCCTTCCAGCCAGTCTCATTTCGTCTGCGCTACAACGCTGAGTGCGTTTTCTAGTGGTGGTTAAGTGAACGTGACTGGCGTACGACAGCAACCGACGGTATAAGCGCGACCCCGAACAAAATCAATAGTTGTGTGTATAAATGTATATGTAGATATATACATAAATATATAGTATATAGAGAAAAATTTGTGTACGCTTATATGTGTGTGAGTASGTAATTGTGTTGGAAATAAAATAAAAATATATATGTATGTGTATGTGCGCGTGTATATAGTATATATTTTGCTCTGAGGCATTCGCCTGTTCGTGAGTGTATGCGAAGTTTTGCAAATGAAACGGAACGCAAACCAAATGAAAAAGTGCATAAAAATGCAACAGCAGCAGCAGCAGCAATAATTGTCAGCGACACAACAACAACAACAACAAAAGCAGTAACAGCAGTTGCAAAAGTAAATGTAAGTGCTTAAAAGTAAAGCTCGTTTGTGTTGGTGTTGGTGTATATAACTATATAAATTAAGTGGATAGAAATATGTGAATGCAGCAGAAATAAGAAGAAAAGTAATACGCACGTATGTGTGTGCATATCTTCGAGACCAACTGTGTTAAAAGGTAAACGAAAATATAARACAAAGTGTCAGAGCCTAAGCAACGTTGGAAACAACAGCAAAGGCAAAGTGAACAAGTGAAACAGCGCATGAGCGTACGAAGTCGTTGGCGTAGCGATCGTGTTGCCTGCTGGAATTTAAGTACATGTATGTACCTGYGTGTGTGTAGAGCATATGAAATATGTGTATGTGTTGGTGCATTTTTCTGTTTTCGCTATGCGTTTGCTTGGAGAAAATATTCAAATGAGCACAAAATTGTTGTATTCACGCACAACAACTGCGCCAACAACAATAATAAGCACGGTAAATGCGTTTCTATGCATGTGTTTGTTGCAAATTATGCATTTTATGCGCAATTGAAACGCAAAAATATTAGAAAAAATTTAAAAAATATCAGATAAAATGTTAAAGCGCTTATCTGAAATTGCAAATATAATATTAAATGGAAATCATTGAGTAGTCTGCGCGTGGCGTAAAAAATTCGATAATGCTTCAACTCTGTGGAGCTAAATGAAAGTTACAAAAACCTGTTATATATATTGTGAGAAAATTATGACAAATGATAAAAATATTTACATTTTTGCCAAAATTTAGTCAACCAAAGTTTAGTGTTATTGAAAATATATAATATAAATAATATATAATACATGAGTATATAATGTACAAAAATACACATTCATGAAAACAGTTAAAGCTTAAGCAGCGCCTTACATTTTTATGGCTTCAGCRTGTTAGCGACATGGCAATCCCAATAAGTGATCATGACAAAACCAGTAACAACAACAAAACAAGTTTTTTTTTTTGGAAAAGTGCATGCTTAAATAAAAGTCAAGTGTGAAAGGAAAATATGAAGTAGTGTGTTAATAAGTGGATATATGTGGCATAGTTATGGAGTAAAMTATAATTTTAAACTAAATGTTGTCAACTAAAAATGCTTTTTGTACAAAAACTTGGTTTTAATCGGCCAGTTTKTATGGCAGCTATATGCCACAGTGGTCTGCTCCAAGCATTATACTCGCAGATTATAGCGTTGTCTTGGATAATAATCCATGCCGAATATCACGGAGATACTTTGTCCAATGAAAAAGGTTGCCATATAAAAACTYGGTTTTGAGCGGCCAGTTTGTATGGCAGCTATATCCTCTAGTGCTCCGATATCGACGGTTCTGACAAATGAATAGCTTTTTTGAAAGAAAGTACACGTAGAAATCGATATCTTCAAAACTTAAGGATTAGTTCACGTACAGAAAGAAGAGGTATGCTTTTCTAGTGGTTCGCCTCCGTAAATACATTCAGGACCTTCAGCTTTTTCCCATATGGTAGAGGAATTTTCGGAAATACCAATGACTGAAGAGCATCTATGTTATGTAGTATTTTACCTCGTCATGTTTGCTGCTGTGCCACATTTCTATATCTTTGATTAGTTTGACGTTCTTTCTTCATTTGCGCTCCCTTGTCCACCGATATTGCCAGAGTTTAAGTGTTTGCTTCCTTGCCTGTTTTCTTGTGAACATGTGTACTTGTATTTATTACGTCCTTCTTACATAACCAGATTTGTCTTCTATCCTTTGCGAGTCGACTTATCATTAGCACTATCACTAGCCGATACAAGCCGAGGTAACTGTAAGAGTTGCTATTCTCTTCTCATATAAGTATAATACTTGCAAGCGGACATGCGGTATTTGCCATAAGACCTGATTGAAATATGGTCATACTGGCTTAATGCATCGTGCTAAATTTGAGCCAAGTACGTGCGTTATCGATCCTTTAAGCGTGGTATTACGTGGACAGAACCTTCGTTTGGATAGTTTCTGAATGAATTTGCAGTGGGATGTGCTTCCTAATAAGCAGAGTCAATTCAGATTTTTTCCCAGCTATATTAAAGCCATGTGAGCTTGCGTCTGGCTGCCTCGGTATTACGAGCAAGCCTTCCACAAATCTGGTCCAAGTACTTATCCCTGCACCTTTTCAGAGGAGGAGAGAATTTTCTTTCTTATTTTCGTAGCACTTACAAAGTTGTGAATGYTTTTTAAACAGATCGTATTGAAAATATGTCAACGCAAACTCAAACTTTGCTCTCAGCTGGCTCACCCATTACAAARACATGACCAATTTGTCGACTTATTACATTTAGTATCTAAGAAATATYTTTTTATATCAATAATCTGAATGCTGATCTAAATTTTCAGTGTTTAAAATCTTCTCAAAGTTTTAGATTATGTAGAACAGATAATAATTAAAATGATTCAATTATCCATTTCCAACAACTATGAAGGTTTTCAAAAATAAAAATGTAAGAAAAAGCGCTATTGGTCCAGTCTTCAAACCTACTTTTTATAATTCGGACCAATACTTGGCACGCTAAAGGTTGYCGGCAGGCTGTCAACTACTACAAATACGTTGGCCAAGTAAATAAAATCCCAAAAGGAGAAATGCTTGCAGTTAGAAGAATTGCATTTGTACTAGAAGACCGTAGAATAGTTAGAACAAAATCGCACCAGTTCGCAACTACTCCATTTTCATYGCACGATCGGCGAAAATGCCAAGTACACAAATACAAGCTGTAAATTATCCACCTACGCTTGCTAAAGTTAGAATTGAAATTGAAACGTTTACATTTACAAATCCGCCGAGTTGAATGGCTTAGTAATTACATTTACGGTTGTACCAATTGTTGAGCGGTTTTCTGCTAAGAGCTTGCTCGATTGCTTGTACAGGGCGATAAAACTTTGATTGCTGCAATAAAAGAGGCTAGTATTTATTGCACYAAGCGATAACCTAATAGGGAAACTGTTTTTATGTGATTCAATCTATAGCCTTTATAGGGGCAGGAGCTTTTGTAAAATACTAAAATTTTAAATATACTCGTATATACTAATTTATATATAGAAATTGAGTATTGAAGGCAAACATATAAAAACTAATGATTTGAAGTGAAAATTTACTTCAATGTTTAGATTTCAGTTAGTTCCAGCAAAAATATGAATTTCCTGCTAATTTTCGATACATACATTATAACAAAAAAAGTACAGGAAATTGTAAATAAAACGCAAAATATTTAATTATTCATTAATATTTTTTTTTCGCTTTCAAAGTAATCCCCACCAGATGTAATACATTTATGCCAACGATTTTACTAGACCTCGACTTTCCTCAAGCACTTTTTAGCATGGTCTTCAGCTGCTTCAGCGAATTTTGTTTAATCTCTTCGGTCGATTGAAAACAGAAGCRACAATGTCAGTTTAGGGAACAAGAAAGTATTACGCGGATCTAAATCTGTTGAATACGGTGGTTAACCGATAGTATTCATTCCAAATTTGTCTTAAAATTCGGTCACAATCGTGACTCGATGCGATGTTGCATTATCGTCGTGTAAAATCCATTCATTATTCCTTAAAAATTCCGTTTTCCGTTCGAAAAATGTTCTAACGTAAACGTCTTAATACGGCCAAGAAGAACTCTTTAGACACCGTGTGTCTCTCCGGAACAAATTCATGAATTCATGAAGCATCAAACCACAAACAAAACCAATAAGCATCACCTTGACTTTTGGGAGGCTTTGGCGTTGTTCTTTTTTTTTTTTTGGATCCCTTTTTCGCTGGATTTGATTGTTTGATTTGTTTCCATATCAAACTCATAAACCCATGGCTCATCATGCTCTCCATAAAATTTGGATCAGAATTATCAAGCTTCTTAAAGTCTARAATTGATATCTTTGGAGGATTTCAATGTTGGTTGTACTCGCCATCCCCCATAACTGCATTGCATATGTCCWTATTGGTTTAGGGATCGACTTGTAGAGTTGAACTTTATTGTCATGACTATGATTAGCTTACTTAAGAATATAAAAACCACTTTCAGGATCCTCAACAAGTTATTTTAGTTTCTTTGGTTTACCAAGTCTAACGCAATTGGCAGGTATCATTTGAGTATTTGATAATGTACGAAATTAGGATATGATTTCGATACCTGTAACCCCATGAATTCCTCCATTTACCGATTCCATGGAACTGGTTTTTCATATCAAGTCCATCCAGCAMAAATTGAACACAGGTTTTTATCCTTTCGGAAGGATTAAACACTGAAGAAGTCATTGAGATAGCTTATGCGTTATATATAGGAAAGACCTTTCTCAAGGCAATCGGGTATATATAACCGGACTGAGTTTAATTAGCTCAAGGATTGTCAAGTCGGCAACATTCCTCCAAATTACTTAAATAATTTTTATGTCGCTAAAACAACAACAACTGCCTTTATGAATGCAATTATCGGCGTAAAGAGTGTCGAATAAAATTCTTTTAAGAACATTATTAACAAAAAACACAAAAAGAAAATACAAAAAAATAACTGCCTTTATGAACCCAATTGCCCGCGTAAAGAATGTAAAAAAAAAAAAAACATTATTTTAATAAACACAAAAAAATCGTCTCTTAGTTCATATATGTACATAGGTTGCTTTTAAATTTCAGAGTTTGGCAACGCTGGTGTTGAGTTCTGGCAAGTCCCAACTTTATCGTAAAGTTTAACATTTCTGATGTTATATAGTACACGCTCTGAACGTTTTGATAAGCTTTCGCATATTGTGTTGTTTACAGTAACTTAAAATATTCATTTCGGGTAAAGAATTAAATTTAATCGCGAACATTATTTTGTTACTACTTTCGCTGTGGCTTGACTCAACAATACTACATCGATGAACTTAAAAGTTCAGCACTATTTTTGTTGTTTATAGTAACTTAAAATGTTCAAATAGGCAAAAATATGGAATTAAATTGCGAACACTTTCGAGCGATTATTTTGTACAAATTTCAATGGCTTATCTCAGCAACAGTACATCAACTTAGTTCAAT